AATAAATAACTCATTTCTTTTTTTTTTTTTAATGTTTCCTTTCTTTCTTTTTTTTTTTATGGTCAGCTCAGCCCACCCTGTGGGTGGGGTTGGCATGGCATGTGGTGCTGGGGATTGAACGGAGGTCCCTGCATGCCTGCCTAAGCAGGCGCTTTAGACCACTGAACTATCTCGCCAGCCCCTACAGACAATATTTATTACAATATCAGGAATTATTTTCAAAAGAATTGGTTGAGGGACAATGGGCCGAGAAACAGACGACGTGTATTCATTCATGATTTGATCACTGTTTCAACTGCGTGACAGGCATACAGAATGGATCATTCTCCCTAGTCTGTAAATGTTTCAAATTTTCCACAAAGTATTAAAGCAAATTTTGGGGGATTTTGATGTGCAAACAATACTGAGAAACACCGAATTAGTGTACTGAAAAAAGGTTAGCACTCAAAGCAATTACTTTTATGACAGGATTTTCAGTTTAGATTTTTAAAGCTATGAACTATTAATACGCCTAGCTTTGGAGCAAAGCCCTTCCACTTATGACATGACATTTCTGTGGTAGGAACGAATACAGCTGACTAACGGAGAGATTGTTTACTCCAAGTCAGCAAAAGCACCAGGAAGAGGCAGAAGAATGGTTAAAATTATAGTTTGAAGACATTTAGGTAAAAGGAGAGAAGAAAGTACATGAAGAACTGTAAAAATTTTAGAATTGTGTGACTCCTTAGCAATTATCTGTACCAATTTCCTTATTTTACTAATGATAAGATAGAGGTGAAGAAAAAGGAATGATCCAAAATAGACCCCGATTCCCACAGAACGACCTGGCTCTTATTCAAGACACCAACTGCTGCTGTCACATTTTGATAAATACACTGTACCAAAATCCTGAGTCATGGAAGTAGAAAAAGGGTAAAAGTAAATGAGGCTGATCATCTTGAGAAGGCCTTGAGGTAAATTTGGACAGCTGGGTAGTCAGCCCAAAAGATGAGGGAGTCTTCAAGTGGGAGAGGAATGAAAACAGAGGAGAAGAGACCCCTAGAAACATCCTTCCAATCACTGTCACTCTGTGATGACACTCTCACTTAGGATCCAAGAAAATAAACCACAGAATCCAAATTTCATGTGCTACCAGTGTGGCAAAACTCCATTTATTCCCTGAAGCCCCAGTTCAGTGGAAAATGATGAAATATGAAAAATTCAGATACCCCCGACTTACTCAATCCCTCCATTTCCCTATTCCATTCTAGACAGACTTCTTGAAAGAATTAAATGCATTTAATATGGACAGCTCTAAAAATGATTACCAATGCTACAAAGGTAATCACATTGCTGTCGGCTCCACCTACCTTCTGGAGTGGAGATGTGGGGAAAAGACAAATATTTCCTCTTCCTGAAAGATGTTAGAACTGAAATCAAAGTTTACAAAAAGCAGGTGTGGGTTGTTATTTTTCACCCCAGGCAACATTTTGAAGTCCTAACAGGAGGGAAGAAATCTGGAATCACTGGCTCTGAAATCTCTGCTAAGCAGCAGAGCTTCAGCCACCACAACTACCAATGCTGGGATGAAGGTCGAGCCACCAAACGCTGCCTTTTACTGATCCCCAGGACTAGGAAAAGTATTCAAATAAGCAAGTGGTGGCTGGTCACTGCCATACCAAAAGGGAAAAGGACCAAAAGTGCAGAGTTTCTAGAGGAGCGGTAATGATACCCGCACAGAGAAGTTTCCAGGAAAAAGAAATTCATTTTGAGGTAGGACGGAAAAAAAGATAGGTAAAAAGGTGACAGGAAAGTCATTTTAAATAGTACTTTTAATAAAAACTGCAGGTTCAGAATACAAACTCAGTCTCAAAAAACCTAAGCCTGGGCCACTCTTTTACCTGAAGAAGGGCTTTGGCCGTTCCTTTTTACTTGCAAATAACCCTGTGCTACTAAATTTTACTTAGAAAATGATGTTTTCCCCATCACTGGAGATGCTGTCACCTGCGAATGGGCTAACAACCCCTCTCCAGACGAAGACCACTGCCTTTCATCGTCGCTTTCTGCACATTTACAGGTTCCTCAGATCCCACCCCCAAATCCCCATAAACATACCCAGCCCCAGACCGACGCACCCCGCTTGAAGGCCTACACTCTATTTCCCTGAGGCTGTACAAAAATTCTACTTAATCCCTTCACGCCCCTTGGGAGTGCTAAACATTCTTTTTTCCACCACAGGAGTTATCAAATGGACCCTACAGGTATAGGATCTGTTCTGTTCCTTATCTCTCTCTGCTTTGGGAACCGTCTCGGATAGGTCGGGTGACAATTTTAGCCGCCTCAAGGCGAATGTGAGAAACAGATCCGGGGTTGGCAGCTCAGCCCAAATCTACCCTTGGAAATTTTCCACCCGGGGTTACAACCAAGACTTTCAGCCAAGGTCTCGAAAAGGACCCCGCGGGTGTTAGAATCAAGGATGTCCCGGGGAAGCATCAGCTGTCCCCGTCCAACTAAAGACGTGGCTCAGACGCTGGTCAGAACTCCAGGAAAACAGGAATCCTTCCTCTGACGTGTTCTGAGGCAACACCGCATGAATAATTCATCCCCTGACACATTCATCCCTGGGAAGTACTAACCCAGTTCAGCTTCAGGAAAAAGATCCCGCGGAGGGTGGCGGAGCAGGCTGCGCCCGCACGTGCCTACCTTAGAGTCCGGCAGGCTGAAGACGCTGGGGTCGTCGGTGCTCCCCACCATGATCTTGTGCTCCTTGCCCGGGGCCGGGCCGCCCGCCCCCTCCGAGCGCGCCGCCTTGGCGCCGTGGCGCTCCCCGGACACCCGCTCGCTGGTGGTGTTTCCCATGGCTGCAGCCGGAGTCGGGGGCCACCTGCCGCGGGAAACACCCGGCGGCCGCGTCAGGGACGCCCCGCCCCGCCCCTGCGCCCGGGGACCGCAGGGAATCCCCGCCCAGGAAGCCCGGCCCGGTCCTCTCCAGGCCCGCGGGGTCGCCCGCAGCCCCCGAAGCCTCTCCCGCCCCCGGCCCGCCCCCGGGAAACCCGCGCCCCCGGAGCGCCAAGCCCCCCTGCGCGCGCCCTGCTCACCTCCGACGCCGAGCTTGCTCCTCCCGGAGCCGCGGGCGCGATGCAGGAGCTGGAGACTAGCCCACCAATAAAGTTATTGAAATTGAAGCCGCGCCCCCCGCCGGCGATCCGGGTTTCCTCCTAAAATGGAAATGAGGCCCGCTACGCGGAGCCAGCCCGCCGCCGCTCTAGCCGCGTGGCCTCGGTGGTGGGAGCGCGCGGCCTCCGGCGCGGGGCGGGCGCAGGCCAGGCTCCGCCCCTCGCGGCCGGAAGGGGCGGGGCTCGCGGCCTCAGCGCCCTTCCCACGTTCTGCTCGCGGCCGGGGTCCCTGGCCTGGTACTTACCCAGAAGACGGGAACTGACTTGCGGCTCCAAGCAGAGGAAGGAAGCAGTCGGTGCTAGTTGGTAAAGCCCTGCGCTGTGGGGAACCCACAAGAGCAGGAGGAGGAGCATTCCCCTGAACGCGATTCCAGGAGAAAACTCAAAGTGGAGTGAATTGACGATAGACCCTGCTAGGCAGCTTGGTGCCAAATCACTCCCAAGGGAAGAACGTTATCCTAGACGAAGATTTTGCTTATGCAGTGACTGGCTCCAAATAAAGCAAATTCAAACAAACTACGCAAGAACTAAGACCCCAAAAGGTGTAAAAAGTAAAGATTGGCAAGCTCAAGCCCCGAGTTCAATCCCCAGTACCATAAATAAATAAATAAATAAATAAATAAAATAAACCTGGATTTGGAGAAATCGGGGATTTTATGATAATTAGTGGAACTTCTAAGATAGTTACAAATTCTAACTTTGCATTATGATTAAATGCATGTTCCATTTTCTACCTGAAACCCTTGCCGCTCAGCAGACCAACACATTCATATTAGCTGGAGATTTGTTAGATATGCAGAATCTGAGGGACTGTCCCTTATGTACGAGATCATAATTGCGTTTTAACCGGATCGCGTGAAAGTGTGAAAAGCATGAAAAGAAAAAGGTCGAGATTAAATTGCTTTTCGTACTCTGTCCACAACTTGCACAGAGTAAGCTTCGAATAAACATTCATGGAATGCAAGGCACCTAAATACTCTTCACTATATTTTTACAAGCTGTGCCAGTTAGGCAGAATGACGGGAGTGTGCAGCTGTATTTGTTGAGAAGTTCATTTTTATATTGTTGAGTTGAAACTCTAAAGTCTAGCATCCATCCCTATAATTAAAACTCTTCTCTGGCTCTTAACCCAAGACAGTTCACAGGAAAATGGTGGTATTTTACAGGAAGCTTTTGCTGGCCCCTTCAAATTCCTAACCATGGTCTTTTCAGTGCAGGCACGTGCCAGAGGCGCAGTTTAGCTAACAAAGTATGGAAGGGGTTGACAGAGGAGTTGAGAGTGCACATAGGGTTGGCTTACCATGCTAGACCACATAGCAGCTGGGCTGGACATTGAAGGCAGAGAAGACTGCTAAAGAGACCGGTGGAATCGAGGGACTGTCGGTATTAGAGGGCTGGAGTAATGAGTTGGTGAGGTAAAAGCTGGTTTTGGGGACTACTATAGAAAAAAAGCATAGAGCTTATTGCTAAAAATCTTCTCTCTCCAAGTGTGGGGCACGCCTGGAATCCCAGCATTTAGGTTGCTGAGGCAGAAGGGTTGACATGCTCTCAAAGCCAGCCTAGACTACATAGTATGACCCTGTCTTAAATTAAATAAATAGAATCTTCACTAAAATGGGAGTAAACCAGACAATAAATAAATGCAATATCCCCTAAATAAAAAGGAGTAAACAGGTCTGTAAATAACCACAAGAGAGCGGACCAGGGCTTCAAAGGAGCTGGGAAATTTGAGAAAGCAAAGAGAAAAAGTGTTGAGGGGCTGGGCACCATAAAGATCAGGGAAGACATGCACTCCACTTTCTTCTTTGTGTTAAGACCCTGAGTTTCTAAGTCCTGCTTGATTGAAAAAATAATTTACAGACAGACACGTTTCAAACCACAGTGAACATTAGTGATATCGTATTTGTTATGGTTAGGGTCTAGATGTGCCCCCAAAGCCTCATGTGTTCATAGGGCGGCTTCTAGAGTTGGCGATTAATTCATGATCCAGTGCTGGGATTATGGTTGTGAGTGCTACACCAACCCTGAGGTGGGCAGCCTGAATGCAGCAGGAGGGAGGGAAACGTGCTCTCTGCCACTGCTCCTCCCTTTTTGCTCTTGCTGTTTTGCTGTTTTCCGCCAGTTTGAGCTGCTGCCTTCTGCCATGAGAAACTCTGCCTTCGAGCCAGCTGAGTATGGAGTGAAACCTCCACACACTGAGCCAAATGAACCTTTGCTTCTTTAATTTTGGGTGTCAGGTATTTTGTCCCAGCAACAAGAGAAAAGTAACAGATATTACTGAATCAGGTCATGAATCAGATCAGTGTTTTAGTCCAGAATATTTTTTGGAGAACATGTTTGCATACAGACATTTCAAAGTGTTAAATACTCTTTAATCTCCTTAGTTGTTTATGGTAAAAGTACTTGCTATTTGACTTAATCCTTTAAAATCTCATCATGCTGAACATGGTAATGCATGCCTGCAATCCCAGCACTAGAGAGGTTGAGTCAGGAGGTTGGCAGTGAGTTTGAAGCCAGCCTGGGCTACATAGTGAGTTCAAGCCAAGCCTGAACTACACAGCCAGATATTATCTAAACAAAAAAGCAAATAAATCTTCAATCATGTTTTTACTTTCCATATAAATGTGTTTATTCAATTAATCATTGATTTACTAGGTCTTACTATGTTCCAGGTACTGCATGAGACACAACGTATCTGCCTCCAAGGAATTTATTCAAAAAGGAAACATGTAAGAGGCCTTGTTGTTATGATATAGTGTAATAAGGATATTCATCACATATAACTGAGGAATGCTGTAGGGGTAATGACAGTGCCAACAAAGGTTAACTGGCTCACACTGGGGATCAGGAAGCTAGTCCTGGAAGAAGTAACAAATGAACTAATCTTAAAGATGATGCAGATATTCTCCCTTGAAGGAAGTAGAATACTTATTCTACTTCTGCAATCTGTGAGCTGCACAGATTGAAGGCATTATTCAGCAGGCAGGTGGAGAATTTATGAAGAGAGTTCAGCACAAGAGTAAATGGGGGAAAAAAAAAGAGTAAATGGGGAAAAATGGCACTTTGGGAAATTCCAAATAGGCAGTCTGAAGGATTTTTTAATACTGTATCAGCATTGCTAGAGTAACAAGCTACAGACTCAGTATTAAATATAGTAATATTACCTCATTAATGTATATTCTCTCCCTCAACATCCATAAATCTTGCTAATAGGAGTCACTCACTTAATACACTTAGCTACAAGAAAGAACTTTTCTAAGTGCTTATAAATTATCTTTACATCTTGTATCTGCATTCCAGCCCCACAAGCCCTGCCACCACCTCTACAGGTACAGTCCATACTTATGTAGCAAAAGAAACAACAGTGCTATGGCAAGTTATATTATACTCCATTAGATCAATTTAATTTGAGAGTAATCAAGGAAATGTAATTAAAATGAATGGAACTATGATACCGTATAACATTGTTCTTCCTCTGACAAAATTCCACGAGACTATAGTTTTGATTTGATTTCTGCACCAAGAGAATGAATATATTTTGAAAACATAATTTTTAGGCTGGGGATAGAGCTCAGAGGTACAGCGCCTACCTGATAAGTGCAAGGTCCTGAGTTCAATTCCTGATACCAATAATAATAATTTTCAATTTTAGAATAGTTTTAAGGAAATTTGCTTTTGGGTGTGGTAGAGCATACCCGTGATCCCAGGCATTGGGAAGCTGACACAGGAGGATTACAAGTTTAAGCCTACCCTGGGCAATTAGCAACTTGGTGAAGTCCTATTGAAAGAAAGGGAGGGAGGAAGGGAAAGAGAAGGAAAGGAAAGGAAAGGAAAGGAAAGGAAAGGAAAGGAAAGGAAAGGAAAGGAAAGGAAAGGAAAGGAAAGGAGGGAAAGGAAAGGAAAGGAAAGGAAAGGAAAGGAAAGGAAAGGAAAGGAAAGGAAAGGA